TCACTTGGTTTCACCTATATACACCACCAAGCCACAATGATCATTTTCTTAGCTATTCTCTTTCCATCTTCCGTGGCTCCTCTTATTCCCAGCTCCATTCCTTTATTCAATTGTTGAGAAACCCATGTAGGAAAGTAAATTTGACTTGAATGGTCTACATGTGGGTTTAAATTCCTTCTCCTGCTAGCTGTTTCCATCAACAACATTCCAAAGCTACAGCCATCAGCCTTGTGTGAGACACCTCCAATTTTTCTCTAGACCAACTTAGGTGCCATGTATCCTAGTGTTCCTCTTCCTGCAGTTAGGGACATGATGCTATCCTAGTGTTTCTCTAGACCAAAAACGTTAGGTTCGCATATCACAGCCTTGGTGTAAATAATCAATCCCATGAGCCACTCCTAGAAAAATCTTGTATGGTTTTTCCCAACCCAAGGTTGTACTTTCTTCCCTAGTAAAAATGTATTTATCAAGAGAACTATTAGGCATGAAGCCATACACAAGCGTGGTTTGAACCCTTTGCACAAAAGCCAATAAGTTTTAGCACATTGACATGGTGAAATCTCCCAATTGTTGCTACTTCACTGAAATAATCTTGGATTGTGACTTTGGATTTGCCCAATAACTTGACTGCAGCAAGACCACCACTCGTAAGCCTTGCTTTATAAACCTCGCCGAAACCTCCTTCCCTTAGTTTTTCCTTAAAGCCATTTGTCAACTTCTTGATATTTGAGTAAGAATACCTTACTGACATAAGGTTATTGTGACTTTGCAAGAATTCTTCAATAGAATCATACATAGATGAATGCCTTCTCTGCCATTTATATAACAGAAACAGGATGAAGCTTGGAATTGTAGGAGCAGATGCCACCCCATGAAGTACATCTGTGAGTATAAAAAGATATTTATTGATATAATTAGTTATGAAATAAAGTATCCGATAAATATTGCCTGCTTCTCCTAGAGTTCTTAATATTTTTTCTTATAATCTCATCAAATGTACTTGAATTTTTCATGCTTCATGATTCAAGACGGTGCAACATGGATAAATGAAAAACAATAGCTCCAGAAGAGAAAGGTTCTAATTACCTAATACGAGTGCTGTGTAGGATAAATAAGTGTAATGCATGGCCAAAACTGCAATAGGTACCATATACCAAAATCAGAGAGAAGCAAGACATTGAATTTGCAAACAGTTCATTTAAAAAAAAGGGACCAAAATTAGCAAGTTACATTTGCATGTGTTTAATCAACGGGCAACATATGTTCATTACGTACCAATCCATATAGAACGGCAGGGAAACCACCAAAGCTCAAAATCCATATGATAACTGATGGTGAAGATCTAGGTAGGTAATGTTATTATCACTCATCTCTCTTGAAGAACAAAGAACCATCAGCTCAATCCGGCATGACTTCTCTAATTCAAATGCTGTTGTTCTTCCAATCTTAGCATAATAATACCTTTTTAGACTTGGACAAAGTAGTAGCATCAATGCAAGAGGAAGCATCCACATAGCAAATATCATTTACTGGTTTTCCACAGTTTAGGAAAAGATGAGCTTCTCCAGGATGAAAATAATATGGATTGCTGTCTGTTGTGACCTTATCAATGCCAAGGGAATAGAGAGGTAGTGAAGAATAGTTACCTTGATTAACATCAGGATCCACAACTTTGATCATTTAGTGATTATAATCAATTTCCTGCATATAGAATTTTCCCGAATTAGGGTGTAAAACTGTGACATTGTTCAAGCAAAATTGATGAGAATCAAGATGACAGCACACATATGACATCAAGTGAACCATTGTATATTCATGGAAGTCTAATAATGAAAGCAAGAGTTAAAAAGATACAAAAAGCTGTAAATGCGCTTATTGAGGAGATTTAGGCTAAAAGTAACACACAACAAGTGAATAAAAACTTGAAGCATTGTTAAGATTTAGTTAACATTTTTTAAGTCCAAGAACAACTTATTTGAGGTCGTTTTGACTTAACTACATAGTTTGGATTGAAATCACTCAATTCGACCACAAATGCACACTTTTAGAAGTAGTGTACATCCAATTCTACTTTTAATTGGATTTGTGTACAGAATATAGTTTCTTATTCTTAGTTGGACTAATTTAGCTATTTAAAGGGTTGTAACCGTAATTGGAGATGTTTAATTGAATATGAGATTATTTGAGAACATTTTCTCTTGGTTCATTTGTGAACTTTACAGAACTTATGAAAGATTATTTTTGTGGTGTTCTAATTTGATTTATTACTCTCGTTCTTAATCGTTTTTTAGTGTGGCATCAGAATTCCTTTATATCTTTTGTTCTTGTTACAATATAAATAACATGTCATAGTTGGTCTTCTATAAATCTTATTTGGCTTTCCTTGGGGTTTTGAATGTCTTTGTTCTTATTGCACTTTTTGGGGTTCACATCAAGAATAGATTATACTTATACTTTAGGTCTCTACATTTTGGTGGATTGGTGCTTAATCAGAAAGGATGATGAATGTTCAGAATATTGCCACAAGAAGAAGCTGGACATTGATGGCTTGCTTTGGCACTGCAATTTTCGTGAGGAAGGGCAAGAAGAAGGGCTGCAATGAGGAGCCCTATTCTAGCCATAAGGAGACAAGCAGAGAAGAGAAAGCCTTTGCTCAGTTTAATAGTAATAGGTGGTGCAACCCCACAACTGTTTTTTTCTGCACGAGAACTTTGAAAGTCAATTACAAAATGTGCTTCACCAAATAATGACTGGGTTTTAATTTCTTGGCAAGTTCAGAAACACCGACTATTG